AGGAAGGGGTGACTAGTGACAGAGTGAGGGAGGTGGTGACTGTTACTAGTCACCACCTCCCTCACTCTGTCACTAGTCACCACCTCCCTCTGTCACTACTCCCTCCTTCTGTCACTACTCCCTCCCTTCTTCTGTCACTAGTCACCCCCTCCCTCACTCTGTCACCAGTCATCCCCTCCCTCACTCTGTCACCAGTCATCCCCTTCCCTCACTCTGTCACCCCCTCACTCTAGTGACAGAGTGAGGGAGGGGGTGACTAGTGACAGAGTGAGAGAGAGGGTGACTAGTGACAGAGTGAGGGAGGGGGTGACTAGTGACAGAGTGAAGGAGGTGGTGACTGTCACTAGTCACCCCCTCCCCTCCCTCACTCTGTCACTAGTCACCCCCTCCCTCTCTCTGTCACTAGTGACACCCTCCCTCACTCTGTCACTAGTCACACCCTTCCTAACTGTCACTAGTCACCCCCTCCCTCTCTCTGTCACTAGTCACACCCTCCCTCTCTCTGTCACTAGTCACCCCCTCCCTCCCTATGTCACTAGTCACCCCCTCTCTCACTCTGTCACTAAGGACAGAGGGGGTGATTAGTGACTGAGTGAGGGAGCAGGTGACACAGTGACAGAGTTAGGAGGGAGTGATTAGTGACAGAGAGAGGGATGGGGTGACTAGTGACAGTCACTCCCTCCCTCACTCTGTCACTAGTCACCCCCTTCCCTCTCTCTGTCACTCCCTCACTCTGTCACTAGTGTGAGGGGGTGACTAGTGACAGAGTGAGGGAAGGAAGGGGTGACTAGTGACAGAGTGAGGGAGGTGACTGTCACTAGTCACCACCTCCCTCTGTCACTAATCCCTCCTTCTGTCACTACTCCCTCCCTCCTTCTGTCACTAGTCACCCCTTCCCTCACTCTGTCACCAGTCATCCCCTTCCCTCACTCTGTCACCCCCTCACTCTGTCACTAGTCACCCCCTCATTCTAGTGACAGAGTGAGGGAGGGGGTGACAGAGTGAGGGAGGGGGTGACTAGTGACAGAGTGAGAGAGAGGGTGACTAGTGACAGAGTGAGGAAGGGGGTGACACAGTGACAGAGTGAGGGAGGGGGTGACTAGTGACAGAGTGAGGGAGGGGGTGACTAGTGACTCTGTCACTACTCCATCCCTCCTTCTGTCACTAGTCACCTCCCTCGTCCCTTACTCTGTCACTAGTCACCCCCCTAACTCACTCTGTCACCAGTCATCCCCTCACTCTAGTGACAGAGTGAGGGAGGGTGTGAGTAGTGACAGAGTGAGGGAGAGGGTGACTAGTGACAGAGTGAGGGGGTGACTAGTGACAGAGTGAGGGGGTGATTAGTGACAGAGTGAGGGGGTGATTAGTGACAGAGTGAGGGAGGGAATGGGTGACCAGTGACAGAGTGAGGGGGGGGGGTGACTAGTGACAGAATGAGGGAGGGGGTGACTAGTGACAGAGGGAGGGGGATTGTGACTGTCACTAGTCACCCCATCCCTCGAT